AAAAGCGCCTCAGATAAAACTAGTACGAATGCGCAACAGCTCATCAGAAGCCGCACTAGTGATTGCGACTAACTGGGCCCTCAAGTCATTCAGACTAGCTTCATTTTTTCCCTCGAAGTCGTTGGTGCTCACTCTCAAGGAAAGTAACACCTACGGTCGTTCAGACATAGTAATGACCTTTTGGGAAGAATAGAATAGATTAATCACTGCAAAAATCGAGTATTCCTATCGATCCCTCATATAATAACTTGCTTTCATGAAATGAAACTGGTTTTCGAAGAATCTAATGATCTTGAGTGCTGGCTCAACTTTTTTTGAGTTAAAGTGAGTGATGAAGAGATTGTTAGCCAGTCGATAGCAGATTGTTCTAGATTTACGGAACATGACCTATGTTCCGTATAAGCATGTTTCGAAAATAGCAATGATTTTTAAATAAGCACTTACTTCATATTTATGGCAGTCTTGTTGAAAATTAGAGCAGCTATTAAATAACTCTGGCTTGTTTAAATGATTCAAAGAGTGATAGCTTATTTTATCCACAATGAAATAAGCCGCACTATTTATTGTGCACTTTCACACGAAATGAAAGTCATCACTACACTAAGAAGTTAGAGAGGAGTAGGATGCAATCAACTAATTCCACAAGCTTCCTCATACTTTATACACCAACGCATTTGAAGTAAAAGTAAAACCAAAGTTTTATCGCTAACTCGCAAATTTTACTTCGTGGAAAAAGGACTTCAGGACAAAAGGGAAGGATCCAATCGTCGGCAGTCCCGGTTTTGGCATGTTCCCTCATGTTAGGCTCACACGATTTCGGGGGAATAAGATGTTGATAGTGGTGGTGGTGGTGGTGATCAGTATCCAGAACTGATAGCATTCGACATGATCACTAGCATAATAATTCAAATATACACTAAAATTTGTGAAGACCACGGAGACAGCGTAAACTGCCTGAACAAATCTGAAACATGGTGAATACAGGAGTGAGGAATGAGGATCATTCATGACAAATCATAATAGGATACTAAAAGCAATATCACTTCATCAAAAGTAGACGAAAATATGGCGTAAAACATGAAAGAAAGCAGAATAAAAAAGGAAATCGGGTCTAAAGATAACAAGAAAGAGAAAGAGAGAGAAATATAGCCAAGTACACAGGCAAAATTGAGTGTACTGGGGGGCGAATAAATAGCTGTCAAGGAGGATGTGGGCAGTAAGAGCATAGAAGCTTCCAAATTTGCTAAGTGAAAGACATTTGGTTGTATTTGTGCGTGATAAACTAGAAAGCTCCGTTTGTTTTCTTATTAAAATACTGGGTTTATTTTCAGTATTTTGGCTATAAAGATCTCGGCAATCTGGTTGCCAGATCGCGTTCAGACCTTTTGGCAACCAGTTTCTCTAGATCCGGATCCTATGGATGGTCCTGGAATCCTGGAGCCTGGCACCGAAGGTCTGGCCACCGAGGTTCGTCGCACATTTTGACCAAAACTTTGCACCGGCAAAAGCCGCCCGTCTTGTGTGACCACCGCTTTGATCAGTCTTCCGTCCAGCTCGACCTCAGCTTCGTCGATTGAAGATGCGGTAGCACTAACACCAGAGGAGCTGGAGGCCGGAAGCAAGCCGGGCCCTCTACATAGCCCCTGCAGACCAGAGGCGATCAGTGCGGAGTTCGGGGAGCAGGATCGCCAGGCCGAGGATGTGCGGAAGCGTTGAGGAGAGAGTCGTAGGTCGCCTTCGCCACTTCGCATTACCAAGTGGTCCCGACACCACTCGGCTTGATCCTTTCGCCCAGCCGTCGCTTCTTCTGATGACTTCCTTGGCGTCGGTTGAGAAGTCCTGTTGCTACTCGACAGTCTGGCTAATTCGGCCAACTGTTCACACGAATGCGATGTGACCATAGCACTAACTGAATAGAGGGCTTTCGATGTTCTCGGGATAGAAGAGCCTTGAGGTTGGAGTAGAAGAGTTTCTGCTGGAGGCCTATCCTGCCTGCACGTCTATACACAAAGTAACCCAGATGGAGAGCAAGAAAAATAAAACTGTCAGAAGGAAGAAAAGACAAAATCTATCATATTTTGATTGGAAATCTATAGATAAAAATGGTGTAGATTTAGGCTATGTCG